GATAGAACAGATTGACGTGAAACTTGGACTGTAAGTAGAAAATACCTCAAGAAACAAAAGTTATATAGTGTGCCGACGAGCGCTTTTCCCCAGGGGATGGAAACCACCTCTTCTAGGGTATGAACAATAAAATATTGAAAACAACCCCAGAAATCGATAAGGGTGGTTTTTAAGGGTTAAAACTTTATAAAAATAACGTGATTTATAACCCACAATAAAAAACAATATTTATTCTATATATTAAGATATGATTTTAACCTATAGGTATAACATCTATTTTTATATTTATTCCGTTTTTTAGCATAAGGGGTGGTTTCCATCCATTAAAAATTAGAAGGACATATCAAATATATATATATATCTTTTCATCTGCAGGGTAAAATAAGCTTAATTCCAAATTAAGGATTATTAAAGGTAAAATAAAATCAAAACAAGCATTTCAACTTTTCTTTAAATATGTCAAAATAACAATATCTAAACCTAAATTATTGAGAGAGGAGCTGTTATTTTTTCGCTTATTTAAGACTAAAATTTTGATATTTAAACGTTTTAAAATTATTTTTACTCAAAAATTAATTAACTTCATAAATACCTATAAACAACATAAGGGCTATTTTTATAAGTAAGTATACAAACAAAATAAAATAAATTTAAAAATCATTTTATGTTAAAATAGATGAGAAATTTAATTCTTAGTAAATTTTCATTTGCTTATGTTCATGGCCTTTTGAATAATAATAAAGAAAACGGTTTCGAGATCTACTTCAACTTCTAACACATATTTGTAAAAAAAAAATAATTTCGGAATTTCATGTTTACTAGGTAAAATTAGACTTACGCGATTTAGACCAACCTGTATTTTATTAGCAACCTATATTTTTAAACATATTAGAGAAAAAAAATCTTTCAGAAATAGCTACGCAGATGTCCTCAATTGCAAGTTATTGGATCCTACCGACTGCGCCAGTTATTGGATCCTACCGACTGCGCCAGTTATTGGGTCGTTGTCTACAGGAAGCTGCGGCTAGTTGACCAACCCCTAGCAGTTCTGATTCGATGAATTTCGACAGCACTAACCGTAGATAACTTGAAATTATAACAATTTTTGAAGATAACACTTTTATTTGTCTTAATTACAGCGTTGGGCGAAGTTGAATCTATAATCGTCCTTCTGAGCGGCTGGTTGGGTATTTATACTATTTATTATCAGCTAGCAACTCAGCAGGAGATTTTCCATTGTCAGCAGAATAACAATAGAAACTTATAAGTAAAGAATTGTTATAAAACAATATATGAATAATGTGAAAATATATATACAGGGTGTTCGGATAACATGCACATGCTAAAAACTTTACCTGCCTCCTCAAAATAAAAAAATATCAAAACTAATTTTTATGATACAGTGTTTAAGATTTAAAAAATTCTATATATTTTCAACTAGACCTGAAAATGTTTAAATGTAGACAAATAAAACTTCTCCTATAATTTACCTAATTAAAGACAAAAACCACTAAATTAATATACAGATTCAAGACCCACTAGCAGATGTACTTTGTTACAATGCTAACACTACAACTCCTGCATTGTTGCATTACTGATTTTTGTAAATTTGTTAACTGCAGTCAGTTTATAACATTACTTCTAAAAAAGAACTATATTTCACTTTTTAAGTCCAAAAACCCAAAAGTTTCAATTTCTGAATTTTTATTTTATTTTTATTTATTTCATAATTAACTGTACTAAAATTACAGCTTTGATATTTTAAATCTGACAATTTTTTTAACATTCATGAACATATTAAAATGTATACCTATCAAATGTGTGTGAAGTGTATCAGCCTTAAGACATTTTAATTGAATAATAATACATAAAACTATATTATCACATATGTAGTAAAACACTATTTTAGACATTATATATATATATATATATACAGGGTGTTTGCCATAATTTTTCCTAATTAAAAACATTAAATTAGTGAGTCTAAAGAAGTACTAGCAAAAGTCACAAAATATCCAATGCTGTTGTCAAATAAAATATAGCAAAAAAAATTTAAATAAGTTGATAAGTTGCACATGCAGTAGAAAATTTGTGTTGTAAAATTTGACTATTTTACCTTTTTTGGTATTCAAATTATAGCCGCTATTTTATATTTCTTTAGAAACTTACAGAAGCTGTAAATCATTTTTATGTAAAATGTGATTTTTTTATATGTAGATTTACCAGTACCGTTTGTGCCACTTCTTTAAAAAACGCCCTGTATATTTACTCTTTATTAAAATTAGTGTTTTTAAATCATATTAAACCTGCTTGAAATTACATCCCTGTGAAAATTATAGTATGTACATACATTCTTAGAAAATCGAAAATAAAAATGATATACCGAAATTTTACAAAATCATTTCATTTATTTTACATTTACTCTTTCAAAAGAAAATTATTTATATTTTTTTAAACTTTTATATATGTTCCTTCTTCATTTGGGATTATTAAATTTTATTTTAATTACACTTTATATAAAGGATGAATGATTTTTATTAATAAAATTTTAAGAACAAGTAAATCATAAAAAATAAAAATTTGTTAAGTAGAGTACATTCTATAAGTATTTCCTTTTTTTAAGACGCATTTTTTAAATGTATTTAATAGCTTTTTTCGTACAGCAACCAGAAACTATCAGCAACTGTAAGACACATCGGTCAAATGCGTTCGCACAGCGATAATCCGTGACTCCTGACTAAAAATTTGATGTTCGCAGAACAAAACTTATGAGTTATGGACTGGTTTCCAACTGTCAAAATAATCCGCTAATTCCCAACAAATTTTGGGTTTCGGACATGCGCATTATACGCACTCTTGAACTAGCGCTGTTCTATGTTGTCAAGTACAAGAGAATAACATAATTAATCATTTTAATACTTTTAATTATAATATAAAACCGAAGTGACAAACAAACAGAAGATGAATCTGTTCAAATTAAGTCGTAAACATAAATTTGAAACAAATAAATATTTATAGATTATGGTTATTCAGTCACGATTCACTTTAATATGTTCGCAGAGCACAAAATTTAAAATCTGTTAAAAAATAAGTTGACGAATACTTTTATTTAACAATGTCTTTTTATTTATTTAATACATCTTACAAAAATTATTATTTTATCAAAACCTATTTCACTTTAAATAGTAGAAAATTGAATTTAAGTGTGTTTCCTACTAAATAATACTGAATAAACATAAACATTTTTTTTTATTAAATACAGCATAGAACAAATAACCACCCTTTATCATACAAGAATAATTTTAAATTGTTTAGAAATTTATTTCCAATAACTTTTATTTGAAACATTAATTTCATACTTTTATTATTAAAACAACTATGAAGGAATACTTATGTTTAAATAAGACATCCCATTAATATTATTAAATGCAAATATTTTACAAAGAAATAAAAATGCAAAATAAATGAGAATTTTGAAAAAACAATCATTTTTGCGATTTCTCATTGATGTATTAGTGAAATCAGTGTAACATCCTTTTTATAAAACAAATTTCTATTATGAAATACATTCAGAAAATATTCGTGAAAATATTTTTTTAAAAAGGAACTAACACTTAATATCTTAAAAATTAAATATTTCTCAATTGTGCATATGAAAAACTGTCGTTAATTTTTGGAAAATTACCTTTCACAAAAGTTTGATGCATGTACGTGCGTATGTGTATGGGCACGCGCTTACGCCTATATAAAAAAGTACCTATATAAAGAACAAAAATACTTTATTACTGTATAGACCTCTAAATTTAATGTTCTCTCATTGGGCAGACACAAGAAATTGAAAGCTTTTAAAAATTAACAAAAATTTTAAAGCTGAACTATTTCTTAATATATATTAAACACCGAAATGCCCTTTTTTGTAAAATGAACATAAATTTTAAAAACATTACAAATTTATCAATACTACTTTATTTTAAAAATCTTTATATATGTATTTCAAGTAAATAGGTATTTTTCAAATATAGTGTAGTAATTGTTGCCAAATGTTTGTCAAAAAATACTTTAAAAACTAATCTGGAATTGTCAATATTAAAATTAATTTTTCAAGCATATTTGACAGAATGAAATTTAATTCTTTACTAAAATTACATTTGAAATTAAATTAATTTAATGGCCATATATAATAGAAAACATTCTTTTAATTTTTCATACATAAAAATCGTTTGTTTTTATTTACTATTACTTTTCAAATATAACTTGACTGATTTTTAATATTAATATGATAATATTATCGGTCGATAGCCGCACGGTTTAAGGCGTCAGTACTTAAATCGATGTGTCTAACTGTGTAGATTATCTATACTTGTACGGAGGATTGGCGCCCTCTGTGCAGGTATGGTAGGGTGGAAGAATGTTGGCTTGGATCAATGTGAGAGATTGACACCGGCTAGCATTTGACCACCCCCCTAATTAATGAGGTTTTCCAGGTTTCCCTCATTCCTGCACTCAATGGTGGTTAGGGCCTACCAACATAAGTCGTTCCTGGGCGCAAATGCGGCCTGCGTAATAATAATATGCCGCCTCCTCTCCCGCACAAGTCTCCGACTTCTGGGCTAATTCTCGTAATTAGAATGAGGAGTAGAGATATTATTATTATTATTATATTATTATTTAATACATCTTAAAAATTATACATATTTTTATATTCAAAATTAATAAACTATCTATTGTGTAAATTACAATTTTATGCAAAATCCGTTTTTTATTATATTTACAACAATTGCCAATATATGCCACTAATAATTTGTTATCCAACTACTTATTAACAAAATATGAAATTATATATTTTTGACGATTTCTGTTTCTCCCTCATATGACCTCCAAAATAAAACTTGTATGTAAAGGTTTGATATCATTTTTCAGAATACTGATAATATACAAATATTCTTATATATTTTGCACAACATATTTGTTCTATTACAGTTTCATCTCACTAATTCGCAATGCCGAGAAAAGGTAGAAAAAGATTAACACAACCAAAAGGCACCAATTTAAGAGGTCAATCCACACGTCGTAAAATTGAAGCTGCTCACTTGCAGTTACCTGAGAATAACATTTCTGTTAACGTTAACTCAGAACCATCTGCAATTACTAATAATCCCTCACCTCAGAAAAAAATTCGAATTTTGCAAAATATTTGTATTAAACCTCCCAAAAAACATTTAACAACTAATGTTGAGAAAGGTAAAACTAGAGTTTCCTATTACTCTACGAAACCCTCTGAGGGCGAGGAAGTAAATAAATCCCAAAAGTATACCGCTTCCAAAATAGAAGATGGTTCTGTAAAAGACGTTTTAGAATCTAGACCTTCTACTTCAAAAGGAATAGTAACCTCAGGTAAACATATTACTTATGTTCATAAAATAATTTCACCTAATATGTATAACTAATCATCAAATTTCTTTTTTTTGAGATTTAATAGTAATATCACGAAAATTAAATTATGAAGAATGTTTTTAAATTTTTTTAAAGTAAATAAATATAAATATATACTTATTGCTATACCTTCTGATTTTTTAAATTGATTTTGTAATATTTAAATATGTTCAAATTTATTGACATCTTATATTAAGATATAATAACAAATTAATATTTTTTGGTACACCGAATAGACATATTTTTACTTATTTAAAAAAAACGTTATTTATAATGATATTATTTTTTTATTTTAACAATGGCATAAGATTAAAAAAGTTTTAGGCGAGCGGTTCACCCCTAAAAAAATACATGAACCGACTAAATTTTTAAAACCAAAACCTACAGCATGAAACTCTTTTTATTTTATAAAGTGTATTTTTCTGATAATTTACATATTTTTTTTATATTTTTCGGCGTGGTCAGTCAGTTATAAAAAAAAGTTGTAAAAAAAATACTCACCAAGTGGCAGTTTTTGTTGTAAAATGGACCAATATAAACACTTTTTGTTCTTTGACAAAAATTCGAAAAATGCTTTGTTTCAGAGATATTTACAATTTAATGTGAAAAAAGTGAGGAAATCAACAAATTTTCGGATTTTTTTTCTCAAAAACTACTGAACTGATTTTAATTGTAAAAAAGCATAACAATCAGCAGATTTTCTACTTTAAGATATATTTTTTTGGTATGGGCCAATTATTTTATTGAAGGTCTAAAGCGAGTAAAATAAGTCTTAAAGAAAATTATAACACTTCAAATTTAAATTTTCTTTTTACAATATATTGGATTAGATTGTATTTACAATAAACATTATTATGATTTTTTTTAATCGATATATGTTAACAGTACAAATGTTCAAAAGATCGTATTGTTTGGTTTTGTAGCTAGAGTAAGGTTTTTACAAGTAATTAGTAAAATTTAAATATTCGATTTTTGGTTATATAAATAGGTAAAATTGACTTGAAAGTTATACCAAAACTAAACTAAATAAGCTTTTTAAATCGTAAAATTAACCTAATAATAATAATTGACCTAGCGGTTTCGAAATATAAAAAAGTTATTGGATAATTTATTGTATAGGATAATTATTTTATTTTTATTTTACAAAAATATTAAGAACAATAAAAGTATATTAATTTCTTTTTTATTTAATTTTTAAATAATAAGTTTTTCGTTAATTTCGACAAGTTCTTGAGTTGAAATTAGTGTTTCATCATCAATTTCAGATGGAATATTCTGACAATTTTTCGTAGAACATTTTTCACTATATGAACAAAAATCGAATCGAATCAAATATTTAAATTGCAAAAACCTTACTCTGACTACAAAACTAAACAATATAATCTTTTGAACATTTGTGCTGTTAACATATATCGATTAAAAAAAATTATAATAATGTTTATTGTATATATAATCTAATCTAAGATATTGTAAAAAGAAAATTTAAATTTGGTTTTATCATAATTTTCTTTAAAAGACTTTTTTGACTCGCTTTAGACCTTCAATAAAATGATTGACCCATACCAAAAAAATATATCTTAAAGTATAAAATCTGCCGATTATTATGCTTTTTTAGAATTAAAGTTTGTTCTGTGGTTTTTGAGAAAAAAATTCCGAAAGTTTAGCGATTTCGTCACTTTTTTCACATTAAATTGTAAATATCTGGGAAACGAAGCATTTTGGAATTTTTATCAAAGAACAAAAAGTGTTTATTTTGGTTACAATTAAAATCTATTAAGTAGATTTTGAGAAAAAAATTCCGAAAATTTGTTGATTTCGTCACTTTTTTCACATTAAAATGTAAATATTTCTGAAACAAAACATTTTTCGAATTTTTGTAAAAGAACAAAAAGTGTTTATATTGGTCCATTTTACGATAAAAAACTGCCAATCTGTGAGTAATTTTTTTTACAACTTTTTTTTATAACAATTGACTGACCACGCCGAAAAGTATAAAAATATATAAATTATCAGAAAAATACACTTTTTAAAATTAAAAAAGTTTCATGCTATAGGTTTTTGTTTTAAAAATTTAGTCGATTACCTTCATTTAGAAGCATCTTTTTAGGGGTGAACAGCTCGCCTATTTTACTGACCTTAAAATTGATCTTGAGGTCACCGATCAAAGTCGGTCAAGATCAACTTCAAGTTTTCAATTAGGAACTCCATTTTCTGACCGCAGAATTCAGAAGAACAGAAAATTTTACGTTCAAATACTGTTTCCTATCCTGGATCAAAATAACCTCATAAGGTCATTCTGAGGTCTCTTCTCTTTCATACCGAATTAAAATTATATGTTCGAGACGATATTACCTCATTTCTTAATATGATCTGGACAAAGCTTTTCAAAGTCGGATGTTTAATATTCACTCAGAAGCAGTCAGTTTAAAAATAATTTTAAAAATAATATTAATTTCAACAATAACAAAGACAATCACCTCACAACGACCTTATGAGACCATTATAGTCCATGACATCATACCCCGTCTGAAAGTAAAATTTTCTGCGCTTTTCAATTTCGGGTTCAAAAATAGGGGTTCGTATTTGAAAATTTGAAATTGATCTTGATCGATCTTGATCGGTGACCTCAAGATCAAAGATCACTAACAATTTTCCCCATCAAACCCTACAACTTTTATTAAAGTCGCTAGAACCTTAACTGTCAAAAACATTAACATAAGGCTGATAAAATAGTCCACCCTTCATATACCACCTATTTTCAAATATAAACCCTTATCTTAATGCACTTCAAAAAAAAATCTTTACAAACGTATATCAATACACAAAATATTCCATAAATAAGTTTTCTATTACATCTCAAAAAATATTAATTTAACAATATAATTCATCAAATCAGCTATATACTTTCATATTATCTATATGCTACATTTAATATTAATGACATAATCTATTTAAAGAGCAAATCACTTAACAAACATCCCGTGTAAGTTAAATATTAATATAAAACAATAAATCGATAACTCAAAATGGGTCATATGGAAATAAATCATATTAAAATTTTATGATTTATATAACTCATAGAACATTCTTAATGATTTTCCTTTGTAAATATTCAAAGATAAAAATTAAATATACATATAAATTTATATTTTTAGACGTTAATTGAAATAAAATTGTTGTTATTTGTCATAAAAAATTCATTATTTGTTACTCCAACTATATATAAACATTTTATGATAGCTTTTCCTGTGAATACGAGGAAAAGATCATTTTCAGATGATTCTGATGATTCTGAAAATGAGGTGGCCGAAATAATAACCGTAAAAGCTATAGTGCACAATACCTATGACGAAAACAACGAAGGCCACGAGAAAGTGCCTGTCAACATTTCTTTAAATAAACCACCTCGAGCCGCTCAAGCGAAATCAGAAGTTTGGAATTTAATTCAAGTAGGTAAGTATTGCATCAAATTATTTTGTAAATCAATATATTCTAATTTTTTTTCTTTCCAGACACTATAGAAATATTGAACGAGGACGATAGCGAAATGCTTCCTCCGTTCACACATTCTCAGATGGAAGCCATTGAGGCAACTCTTGCCAACATCGAACGCAATGATCCTGAGAATATTGACCAAATCAATCGTGCAACAACACGGGAGGAAATTGAACGAGAAATAAACAGATTACGTAACGTAGGTAACCACATACCTACATACCTCATGGCGAGCGAACGTGTCTTGAGACGTGGAGTTTCGTACTTGGGTCCTCTCAATAGGTTGTGCGAATACTGTTTTGCTCTCTATTTTCCAACAGAAATTACAAAACGTAATCATTACTCTAAATGTTGTCAAAAAGGTAATGTAATTTTAGATCCTTTACCAGTTTTACCCAATTTGCTTAAACAGCTTTTCCAAGGTACCCATCCTCTATCTAATCATTTTAAAAGGTTTGTACTTTTATACAATCATGCCTTTCAATTTGTGTCCTTGGAAGCTAATTTAAGAGATTTACCCTTAGGTAGGGCACCGCCAGTATACGCGATTCAAGGTAAAATGTACCATCACATATCCGATGTAAATGTCAACCAACCGGTATAACGCTTTGGACCTATCTACTTTCTTGACCCAGAGGTAGCCGCAAATCAAAGATACGATAATAATAATGGTATTTTAAACAGAGAATTAATTTCCAGATTAGAGCGATTGTTTAGGGATATTAATCCCTACGCAACAGCTTATATGCATTTATGTAACCGTTATAATTTTGAGTTACAGACTATCGACAGACTTCGAGCAGAGGCGATTAGAAACAATATAGAGCCGCTGCCCCTGGAAATGCCCACAGTCACTCTAGAACTATTAAGTGTACGCGGAGCTAACAGACGTCAGTATGACTTACCAGTGGTGGAAGAAGTTGCCGCCATTTACAATATATTACCGGACACTCCCGCAACACCCAATATGCGTATATACGTACGTAATCAACCGGGCAGATTCCAAAATGTCAGCGAAGAAAACGAACTGCTCGATCCCCTGGTATTTCCCCTTCTGTTCCCTCACGGAGAACCCGGTTGGCACATAGGCATCCCTCATAGAAATAATGCACGCAATGTAACTCTCTGCGAATACTTTGCCTATCGCTTAGCCATCAGGGACAACGAACAACGATTCCACTATGGGGGCAAATTAACTCAACAATTTGCTGTAGCTTCCTACATTAAAATAGAAAATAACCGCCTAAAATATATATTAGCCAATCAAGAACGGCTAAGAGCGGCTGAATATGTAGGACTGGCAGATTACCTTCACCGCACAATACAAAATAATGACGAGGAAAACGAAGGCGCGACACTAGGAAGGATGATCATTTTGCCTTCTACTTTTGTCGGCTCTCCTCGGCACCAACAACAATTATTTCAAGATGCCATGGCAGTAGTAGGTCGCTATGGTACACCCAGTATATTCCTCACCATGACCACAAATACTCATTGGAGGGAAATTGTAGACAATATTCCTAGAGGTCATTTAACTAACGACCACCCCTCTCTAATAGACAGAGTATTTCAGGACAAAGTAGACGAACTCATGGAAGACATGCTTAAATCTCAAGTGTTCGGTATACCGATTGCCAATCTCTATGTCATTGAGTTCCAAAAGAGAGGGCTACCCCACTGTCATAACTTACTGATCCTAAGAAATGAGGACAGATTAACCGATATTTTAAAAATAGACGCAATGATTAGTGCAGAAATACCCGATTCACAAACAGAACCTGAACTATTCCAAATAGTAACTTCCTGCATGGTGCATGGACCGTGTGGTGAATTAAACCCTCAGTCTGTTTGTATGGTCAATGGAGTATGCTCTAAAAAATATCCTAAATCATTCTGCGAAAAAACTACTGTATCACAAAGAGGGCAGATTGAGTACAAAAGGCCGAATAACGGTAGAACTATAACGGTAAGAGCAAATAACAGAAATTGTGTTTTAGACAACCGTTGGATTGTACCGTATAACCCATACGCCCTACTAAAATACAACTGCCATATCAATGTAGAAGCATGCGCCAGCGTGCACAGTGTTAAATATCTGTACAAGTACTTTTTCAAAGGAGCAGACATGGCACTCCTAAGAGTCAACATAGATAATACAAACGAGTACAATGAAGTAGAAAACTTCCTCAATGGCAGATATATGAGTCCAACGGAAGCCTGTTGGCACATTAATAAATTTCCCATGCACAAACATTCTCATACCGTATATCGACTATGCGTACACCTCCCAGAGAGGCAAATGGTTAGATTCCAACCAGGATTGGAAATACAAGCCATGCAACGCAACGAAGTCACACAATTAACAGCTTGGTTTATACTTAACCAAAATGATGCCGAAGCTCGGCAATATCGATATATAGATATTCCTTACCATTATACATGGGAAACACGCACCAAACGTTGGAAACGTAGACAGAGAGGTGCAGATAAAATCGTGGTACGAATGTACTCAGTAAGCGTAAGGAACCAAGAACTGTACTACTTACGTTTATTATTGTTACATGTTCAGGGACCACGTTCCTACGAGGACTTACGCACAGTAAACAACGTACTTTATGGTACTTTCAAAGAAGCTTGCCAAAACCGCAACTTACTAGCCGACGATACAGAATGGAAAAGAGCCCTAAGAGAAGCTTGCGCAAGAGATATGCCTCAACAACTGAGAAATATGTTTGCCTTCATGCTAATCTTTTGCGAAATTTCGGATACGCGAGCGCTTTGGGAAGAATTCAAAGCCCATTTTATGGAAGATTTTCAGCGCCACGGCTTATCCGACGACGAAGGGCTTCAAAGAACCTTACGATCCATTCAAACCGTATTATTGTTGAACGGAACAAGGCTAGCACTCTTCGGTTTGCCAGAACCGGAAGAGATAAGAATAGAAGTCGATCCCATTAACGTAGAAATAGAACGACTAGAAGGTCAAGAAATGTACGACAATCTTAACCAAGAACAAAGAATAGTATGCGAAGCGATAATGGCTGCCATTCGTGACCCCAACGAGGCCCGTCGACTTTTCTTAGTCGATGCTCCAGCCGGATCAGGCAAGTCGTACCTATTTCAAACCATTATCACAAAACTGCGCGGTGAAGGGTTGCCCGTCCTGGTAACCTCTCCAACCGGCATCGCCGCATCGCTACTAAAAGGAGGTCGTACTCTTCACTCCACATTCAAATTACCTTTCGACATTAACGAAACGACAACAAGTGGCGTAACTCCACGTTCAGCGGAAGGTCGCTACCTAGCAACAGCTCCCCTCCTAATAATAGACGAAATATCGATGATCACGAACCTTATATTCAATATTATCGAACGAGCCTTAAGAGACATCTGCAACGATAATAGGCCTTTCGGTAACAAGGTAGTGCTATTAGGAGGAGACTTTAGACAAACACTGCCAGTCGTTGTCGGAGGAAATAGATGCACCATTGTAAACGCCTGCATAAAAAGCAGTCGGCATTGGCCTCTGTTTTTAAACTATATGTTACGCACCAACATAAGGGCCGAAGAAGATGAAGAGTTCTCCAGATGGCTCCTAGACTTAGGCAATGGGACCTTAGAGCCACTGAGACGAACACCATATGGTAATATAATACAAATTCCCCATGAATGCTATGTTAACAGAATAGAGGACATTATAGAGTTTTGCTTTGACGACGTAGATCCTACGGTAGCTACCCTGAAGGCAATTTTAGTACCTACTAACAATTCCAGTCATAGCATTAACCAAACAATTTTAAATAAAATACCAGGGGAAAGTAAAACTTACTTCAGCGCTGACAGCGTCGATATCACTAACGATCCAGCAGCCGAAGTAGCCAATTACACGGTAGAATTTCTGAATTCCCTTACCCCCAACGGAATGCCACCGCACAAATTAGTCCTAAAAGAAGGTGCTATAGTAATGCTTCTACGCAATCTAAATCTTAAAAAAGGACTGTGCAATGGTACGAGACTTATTGTGCGAGTACTAGGAGATCAGTACCTAGATGTAGAAAAAATAAACAGTGTAGGCAGGCCTACTGGCGAAAGGGTATTCATTCCTCGAATAGATTTAAAGTCAGCGGTTGACGTTCTACCTTTTAAACTTAAGAGACGACAATTTCCGCTTTGCTTTGCACAAGGGCAAACATTCCAAAAAGTGGGGATATATCTGGATGAACCTGTCTTCTCGCACGGACAGCTGTATGTCGCTTTCTCTAGGGTTAGAGATCTACAAGATATTCAGATATGTATAAAGGAATCCTCGCAACAAGGTAAACTCTTACCAAATAGCGAAAATGTATATACAAGAAATATTGTATACAGAGAGGTCCTATGAAATCTTTTATTTCACACCTCATCCATGAGACCTCTCTCTAAATTTTGCATATAGTAGTTTGAGAAAAATTTTTCATAATGATCAGTAACTGAACTTTTTCCCTATTTGATAATCTCATCTACTACTCTAAATATGTTTTCAGTATTTCCTTCAGCTTAGCGAAGGTCAGCCTTTTCCATCCGACATTTTGGTACACATGTTCTCATAAATTAAAATTCTCGCCTTTAACAAAGTCCAGACAGATATTATGATTACAAAACACTAACTACGTGTAACATTTTTGCAAGTACGTCAATATAATATTTCATTTTTAGTAGACAAACTTTTCCGATTATAATTATTCTGTTACAAGAATTATTTACTTTCCTTATATTTCTATTGATCATGAGCATACGCTAATTTAGCATTGTGCAATCAGTTGCTTTAAATCTAATAGAACAACATGTTTTGATCTTCGAATAGGGAAAATGTTTTGCTATTTATAGCAAATGTATAATCGGAAATAAGAAATATATATATTTCAATAAGTCTACTTTCAATTTTGTTTCTTTATTTTTTTATGGAAAAATAATATTGGCGATTCAACTACATTGTACAATACCATAATATCTTTTTTTCTAATTTTCATATACGAGAATTTTTTCTGTCAAATGGAAAAAAGCAATACTTCCTTCTAATTTTTGGCACTTGGTATCAGATATCAGGCAAACGTTATACCAGTTTAAATACAACTGCACTTATATGTTTTCGAGCAATTCTTAATATACCTTGCCTTATATAGAAGGATATATTCCAAATTTAATTTCCAAACGTTACATTTCATCTTACTTTGAAATCATTTATTTAGTGTGTTTGTTATTATTTTTTTCAACACTGAATCTAAAATCATGTATTAAAACCTTAATAATTTATTTTCAATGTCAATCTCATAAAGGGAAATAATAACAATGTATTTTATTAAATTATACAAATATCACAATTTCATAATTGCTACTTTTATCATTTTTTTATACTCTATTGATTTGAAAAATCCCGATGCTTCCTTTGTAACATAATTGGCAGTTATATCAGATATGGAGCAAATACTATGCCGCCACTTTAGGCAAAACTGTCTCCAAATGCCTCGAGCAATTTCTGATTAATATACTTTGCCTTTTTACAAGGATAGATTTTTCGGAATTTCGTTTCAATGAGATATAATTTAATATAACAAGTTACCTAGCCTCAAAATCATTAATTTAATATTTTATGTTGTTATTATTTTTTATCCCATCATCAAATTCAAAATCATGTATCAAAAACATTTATAACCTGTAAAAACTTTTCCATTTTTCTCCTTCAAAAATTATTCAAGTAAATTTTCTATTCCAATATTTAACAACCTTTGTGATATAATATATATATTTTTTCCAACACTAAATCTAAAAACATGTATCAAAACCTTAACAATTTATTTTCAATGTCAGTCTCATAGAAATAATAATGTATTTTATTAAATTATGCAAATATCACAATTTCGTAATTGCTACTTTTATCATTTTTTATACTCTCTTTTGATTCAAAAAACCCGATGCTTCCTTCGTAACATAATTGGCAGTTTTATCAGATATGGAGCAAATACTATGCCATCACTTCAGGCAAAACTGTCTCCAAATGCCTCGAGCAATTTCTGATTAATATACTTTGCCTTTTTTACAAGGATAGATTTTTCGGAATTTCGTTTCAATGAGATATAATTTAATATAACAAGTTACCTAGCCTCAAAATCATTAATTTAATATTTAATGTTGTTATTATTTTTTATCCCATCATCAAATTCAAAATCATGTATCAAAAACATTTATAACCTGTAAAAACTTTTCCATTTTTCTCCTTCAAAAATTATTCAAGTAAATTTTCTATTCCAATATTTAACAACTTTTGTGATATAATATATATATTTTTTCCAACACTAAATCTAAAATCATGTATCAAAACCTTAACAATTTATTTTCAATGTCAGTCTCATAGAAATAATAACAATGTATTTTATTAAATTATGCAAATATCACAATTTCGTAATTGCTACTTTTATCATTTTTTATACTCTCTTTTGATTCGAAAAACCCGATGCTTCCTTCGTAACATAATTGGCAGTTTTATCAGATATGGAGCAAATACTATGCCATCACTTTAGGCAAAACTGTCTCCAAATGCCTCGAGCAATTTCTGATTAATATACTTTGCCTTTTTTACAAGGATAGATTTTTCGGAATTTCGTTTCAGTGAGATATAATTTAACAACTTACCTCACCTCAAAATCATTAATTTAATATTTAATGTTGTTATTATTTTTTATCCCATCTTCAAATTCAAAATCATGTATCAAAAACATTTATAATCTATAAAAACTTTTCCATATTCTCCTTCAAAAATTATTCAAGTAAATTTTCTATATTTAACAACTTTTATGATATAAAATATATAATATAAACTTCCTCCGATATTTTCAATCTGCCAATAATTAATTATCCCCAATAAATAAAAACAATGTATTTAAAATATTATTACATGTTTTAAATATGGTTTATATTCTTTTAAAATCTATATTTTAGACAAAAATCTCCTTAAATTTGTCACTCCATGTCTATTTATAATATTTCATACATTTCACATAATATTATGTATTTTCTATCTATACTACTATTTTTTTTCAAAACTTATAAATTATTAAATTTATAATTATATTTCAACAAACACATGTGTACATTGAATTACGTTTTATTGTTACAACGATTTAATACCACCACCATTTTCTACTCCGGAACCTATTGGATGCGCAAACTTTTATAAGAAGACTACAGCACGGTTTTCATAATATCGTAAGTTACTGCATTCATATTTTATTATGTTTAAACTGATATGAATCGAAACCAAATTATTTTCCTCTCTAATAATAATTGAAAAATATGTATTTAATTTTTTTGATAGCCAACCCCAGAAAACAAGGGCAGGCCAAAAGTTTCTAGCTACGGCTATGGAAATGCAATGAAAGTCAAAAAACTTAAGGTACAAACCAAAAATATTTTTTTCCATAAATTTAATATTTTTATGAAACATTAATTACCGATACTTCCAAATCCGTAAATTACAAAAACTTCATCCCATCTACATTTATTTTAACTTTAAATGCAAAAAAGTTATTACCTTTATCTAAAAATAATAAAGATTCTAAATCTAAAAAACTATTGGCAAATTATTATCATAATAATAACTAAAAAAACCTATAAAGTATTCCTTGAAAATTCTATATAATAATAAATTACATATGTAACACATACATACATTTTTCTATAAAGTAGGTATTTCATCACTTTTTATTTGTGCCCAAATATCAATTATTTGTGACATATTTTTTTTCTATTCATTTGAATATTTTATCGCAAAATTTTTATAAATAAATAAAATTAATATTTACATAGTTCACCGCCACAAATCCTTTGTAGATATCACTGAATATGCCGTCAACGAAGAAGAACCAATTATTTGAAAAGGCCGGATACAACCAGTTACAAAGGCCATTACGAAATACTTCATATCACCACTATTTGATGAGCAGTTCCATTTATAACGATCTAAAGCCAACAACAAAAATGGAAATGAACATCACGGCAAATCTTAAGTCTTAATAGCAAGTCCGCCTCTACAGAGCCTAGCCCGAAAACAACAAGGGCAGGTCAATGGTTCCTAGCTACAGCTAAGGAAGTGCAATGTAAATCTGTAACTGGTTGCCGTCAAATACATAAATTAAAGCATAACAACCTGAAAACCCAAGGTACAAACACAATTATTATCAATTAAGTATTTGACATTTTTTTTCTATTCATTTGAATATTTTATCGCGAAATTTTTATTTTAAAATAAAATTAATATTTACATAGCTCAGAGCACAAATCCTTTGTAGACAGCACTGAATATGCCGTCAACGAAGAAGAACCAGTCATTGGAAAGGCTAGATACCACCAGTTACAAAGGCCATTACGGAATACCTGAGATCACCACTATTTGAAGACCAGTTCTATTTATAAGGATCTTAAAGCCAACAACAAGAATGGAATTGAACATCGCGGCAAACCTAGAGTTTTAATAGCAAGTTCACCTCCACAGAGCCTAGCCCGAAAACAACAAGGGCAGGTCAATGGTTCCTAGCTACAGCTAAGGAAGTGCAATGTAAATCTGTAACTGGTGGCCGTCAAATACATAAATTGAAGCATAATCTGAAAAACCAAGGTACAAACACAATTATCAATTAAGTATTTGATATTTTTTTTCTATTCATTTGAATATTTTGTCTCGAAATCTTTATTTTAAATTGAAATTAATATTTACATAACTCACAGAAACAAATCCTTTGTAGACATCACTGAATATGCGGTCAATGAAGAAGAACCAATCAATTGAAAAGGCTGGATACCACCAGTTACAAAGGCCATTACGGAATACCTGAGATCATCACTATTTGAAGAGCAGTTCCATTTATAATGATCTTAAAACCAACCACAAGAACTGAAATGAACATCACAGGAAATCTGGAGTTTTAATAGCAAATCCACCCCCACAGAGCCTAGCCCGAAAATAACAAGGGCAGGTCAATGGTTCCTAGCTACAGCTAAGGAAGTGCAATGTAAATCTGTAACTGGTGGCCGTCAAATACATAAATTGAAGCATAACAACCTGAAGAATCATGGTACTTTAATTAATCTCAACAGCAAAATTTTTTTTCCCAAAATAACATATTCAAACAAATATTCATTTATTCTTATATCAAATTTTATATATCGTAGATTGAAAACCGTTAAGTTTTGAATAATATTCCATCTAAAAAATTATACTGGACACTTTTAAAAAATATAAAAATCTAACTCTTCCTTTTATTTTCTCTTAAATTAAAAAACTTTAAATATAAATTTCTCAGTTATCCCTAACAGGTACTTAATAAAAATTATTACTTTTTAAAATTACATTAAAAAACAAAATAAATAATTAAATAACATTTGCAACTTTAATATAATTCAATGATTCAATTTTAAATTTAGTACAATTATTTTAGACGAAAAAAATATGCTCTTTCTGTTTCATATAAGTATTTAAAATTAAAAAAAAACACAACATATGTTTTTATGCTATATATGAATAAAGAATATTATTATTATTATTATTATTATTATTATTATTATTATTANGTTAAAAATAATATTGCTGCCGAAGAAATTCAATTACAAACTTCATTACAAGCAGTAGCTGTTAAACTATATTTCCCCTTTGAATTAGTTGTTTTGAACATATACTTACCCGATCCTTCATGGAACAAAAGTGATTTAAATAATTTAATTGCTCAAATTCCTAACCCTTATATTATAGTTGGCGACTTTAACGCTCATAATTCTCTGTGGGGGTCTGGTCATACGGATCGACGAGGTCGTATGTTAGAGGATATAATAAATGACAATGATTTGGTTTTGTTAAACACCGGGGAAAATACTTACTTCAATGCTAGATCTAATGCTTTTTCAGCCATAGACTTAACTTTCTGCTCACCACAAATAGCTAATTCATTTCAATGGGAAACTTTATCTTCTCTTCCCTCAGATCACTTCCCCGTGTCGATTTCTTTCTCAGAAAAAATAATTGCAAACGGTTCATTCCCTAAATGGCAATTAGAACGTGCCAATTGGACTAAATTTTCAAAGTATGTCGAAAAGATGAAAGATTTTCAAGATACAGACATTTCAGTTGCATCCTTAACATCGATAATTAATAATGCTGCCACTGAAAGTATTCCCAGATCAAATGGAAGTTGTCACAGGCCTTCAGTTCCCTGGTGGAATGCAGAAGTTGCCAAAGCTATTAAAAATAAAAAACGTGCTTTAAACAGATTCAGGAAAATTCCTACAGTTGAAAACAAAATTATATTTAAAAAAGAAAGGGCTAAAGCACGTCGAATTATTTTAAAAAGTAAACGCGATTCTTGGTCGAATTATATATCATCTATAAACATAAACACCACTTCTTCTGAGGTGTGGAAAAAGATTCGAGCAATAAGAGGTAAGAAATTCCCGAGTCCATCACCAACTTTAATTATTAAAGGTCAATTAGTAACAGACCCGAGAGAAGTGGTAAATTCTTTTGCGGATTACTTCAGAGATGTAAGTAGTAGTCAAAATTATAGTAGCAATTTCTTAATACATAAGGAGATTTGCGAAGCTCCACTGACTTTCAATGAAACTACAACGTTACATTATAACAAATCTTTTGACATATCAGAATTAGAACACGTGCTTGAAGAGACAAAACATTCCGCTCCGGGCGCTGACTTCATTCCATACGAAATGATTCGCCATTTGCCAAAAACATGCAAAGAAATATTATTGTCACTCTATAACAAAATATGGATGGATGGTGTTTATCCTGTGGAATGGAAAGAAGAAATAGTAATTCCATTACTAAAACAAGGAAAAGATCCTAAACTTCCCAACAGTTATCGACCAATCTCCCTTACCTGTTATATGGGCAAAGTGTTGGAAAAATTGGTAAGTAATAGGTTGATATGGTACCTAGAGGAAAATAAGCTTCTTTCGGAGGCCCAGATGGGCTTCTGAAAACACAGATCGACAACTGACAATATGGTTCAGTTAGAAACTATCATTCAAAACAATTTTGCAAAGAGAAACCATACAGTAGCGGTATTTTTCGACATAGTAAAAGCATATGACATGGTTTGGAAATTTAATATTTTGAGATCAATTCACAATTGGGACATTCGAGGCAATCTAGCATATTTCATTAAAAGTTTTCTAGAAAACAGATCCTTAAGAGTTCGGTTAGGAGTTTCAGTTTCTGAATTGAGACATGTGGAGAATGGAATTCCTCAAGGATCCACCCTAAGTGTAGTTCTGTTCGCTATAGCCATTAACAATCTAGTTAGTACTCTGAATCCAGAAATTGGCAGAATGTTATATGTTGATGATTTAGTGTTATTTTATTCGGCAAAGCACATGCAAGACATAGAACGAACTCTTCAGAAAGCAATAAACGATATCCTTGATATTTCAGACAAAAATGGCTTTCGTTTTTCCAATTCCAAAACTCATTGTGTCCATTTTTGTCGACTAAGATCGGAACATGGCAACCCTCAATTATCTCTCGGTAATCAGATGCTGGAATTTAAAAATGAATCAAAATTTTTGGGGATTATCTTTGATTCAAAACTAAATTGGAGGTCGCAAATTCAAAACATAGCCACAAGGTGTAAAAAAGATTTGAATATATTAAGATGTTTATCTGGAATTAAATGGGGATCCGATAAGGAGGTGTTACTGAGAATTTATAAATCATTGATATTAACAAAGATGGATTATGGGTGTGTGGTTTATGCATCTGCCCGAAAATCTCAGTTAAAAATTTTGGATTCCGTTCACCATACAGGATTAAGGCTAGCCTTAGGTGCTTACCGTACTAGTCCAGGAGTATCGTTATGTTGCGAGGCGGATATTCCTCCTTTAATCTTCAGGCGTAATCAGTTATTATTAACCTACGGAATTACGATTTGGGCTCAACCAAATCATCCCAATCATCAATTTCTTTTCAACTGCCACTTTCGTGCACCATATGAGCAAAGGCTCACAATCACAAGACCAACAGGTGTAAGATTATACGAACTGTTGAATGCTATGGATGAAATTTTCCCTACAGTTTATTCTTACGGTGTATGTCAAATTCCTCCATGGATATTAATAAAACCCAAATTTCACCTTGAATGTTCACTATACAAAAAAGGAGAAAGTAATAAGAAACTTCTCACGAATACCTTTTATTCCATCATTAATACTTACCAAGATAGCATCAAGTTATACACAGATGGATCAAAATTTGACAATGGTGTAGGAAGTGCGTTCTTCAATGGCATTGACTCATACAGTTGGACTCTTCCAAAAATGGCCAGTATTTATACGGCAGAACTCTATGCAATATGGCAAGCGTTAAGATATGCGGAAATGGATAAAAATAACACAGTATTAATATGCTGCGATTCTCTTAGTGCCATCGAAGCTTTGTCTAACAGCTTCACCACAGATCCACTTGTGCAAATTATTTTGGAACTGGTACACTGGCTTTGTACCATAGGGAAAAAAGTGTGTTTCATTTGGACACCTAGTCATATTGGCATACAAGGCAATGAAATTGCCGATTGCTCAGCCAAAGAAGCAGCAAAAAATCAGTTACTTGATGATGTGTTAATTAGAAGCGAAGATATTAAAGCATACTTGAAAAACAGTAATCTTGAAAATTGGCAAGAATATTGGAATAGTTTAAATACAAAATTAAAAGAGGTTAGACCCAATGTGACCAAGGGTATTGTGACAACATCATTAACGAGGAGGGAACAAACAGCCATCATAAGACTAAGAATAGGTCACACAAATTTAACTCACAACCATTTATTAAGAGGTCTGCCTCCACCATTATGTGAGAATTGTAATGTTCCTTTGTCGGCGAAACATTTACTGTTAGATTGTCCCAGATTTCAAAACCATCGCAAAGAATGTCTACTAGTCGATAAGCTAAATATTTGTTTGGGTTTTCCATTATCAAATCTAAAAAAGACCATAGAGTTTTTAAAAGCAATCAACATCCTCCATAAAATATGATTCATACTTTTAGAAACAAGCGGCCAATAACCTCTGCAGTTGACGCCGCTTTATGAAAAAAAAAGAAAAAAAA